TCTATCATTTCGTAGTTACTATCAGTGATGTATAAGTATTGGTTATTGCGCAATCTGTCACAGTATAACTGTATTTACTTGCCTATCCCACGCATTATGTCGCATAATAGTGCTTGATGTATTCGATTGTAATCTTGTTCCTTGGAGTATAATATTAATGAGTGGTGAATGTGAGGTCCATCTGATTTTGGAATTATTTGTGAGTGTGGTGGTCTAGGTGCTGGGAGAATTTCTTTTTTCGGGGTGGGTCGTGGTGGCGGGCTTACTTTTTCAGGTGTGTCTCGTCCGATGATGTTTTCTAATTGAATTTCTGATTACTTGGATATCGGTTCCTGAGTCGTTGTCCTTCGGTTATGTGCAGCTTGATATTTCGTTTAAACTGCAAATTCCATCTGATGAGCATTCAACGATGTTAGCGGATGTTCACATCTCCTCAAGCGCTTTCTTCATAAACCGTACCCCTCTTCATCGGTGGTAAGTTGTATTCGATATATGTTGTTTCAGTTTGGTTATTTGTTGACTTCATGAATTACATATTGTTTCACCTTTCGCTTATTCATGTTAACAATAGTTTTGCTAGTTTTTTGTTTGCAGGACTACATCAGCAGGGTTGATGAGTATATGTCAATATGTATGGTTCACAATGTTTTCAACCGTCTTCACGGCAACTACATTATGGTGATATGTGATTAACGTCACAGTGTTGTATTTTATGGTCTGTATTTTATGGTCTTTTTTCTGCTGCTTGGATTTGCTCTGCTGTGATATGTTTTATTCCGTTGATCTTGCTACTTAGCTTTTTGAAATTTATTGCGGTTATGTCCCTGTAAGCTTTACAACACTTTGATTTATTTGTGTATCTAGTTAATTGTTTATAAAGAGGTTGTTATCTTGTGCTATCAATTTTTTCGGGTGTTGTCTGTGCAATGTTTCATCACTGTTTTCAATTTTAATGTGAATAAAGCATAATTGCTTTTTAGTTGCATCTCTTACTAAACTAAATTATATCATTAAATCTCCCTAGTACAGTAATGTTTGAACTTCATTGAATAGAGATCATGATACGTTTCGAATGGTTGTGTAGTTTCAGTTTGTTTCAAAGATGATCCTATTTTATGTATTCGAAGTCATGCATATTTTATGCATTGAATTATCTTTTCAAGGACAAAGCATGATAAGTTTTTTAACCATGACATAGCACTGAGTGAGATTGATTCAGTTTTAGAAATCAGTGATTGTTGTTTTGATATCGGAACTTCTCATAATTCAATTAGTATTTATACAAATAGTGAGAAATGGGGTTTTTACAAATACATTGGATCATCGTAAGATTGTATTGTAAATTTCAAAGTACCAAATATTTGCCCGTCCAATGTTACAATATCATTTGTAAAACATTGACTGTCATTATCAACATTCTCTATGATGTGAACCACACCCAAAAGCTGATCTCCTATAGCGCAAGCCTCCATTAATTCTATTTTAAATCTGTTAGTCATACTTGTTCTGAAATCAAGGAAATTATTAGAATACAAAATAGAATATCAAGATGTGACTCACAATAATTTACAGTAAATACTAACTAACAGCTTAGTCGAGAACGATTCTGTCAATAATAGTAACATTTAAAAAATACGAATTGAAGAAGCAAGTTCACTGTACAATTTAGTGTTATTAATTAAATAAGCAGACCGGTAGAAAATGAAGGATTCGTTCCAAATAATCTCTGTACCTTCTGTTACTTGTGTTCTCACTTTTTCTTCATTGCAGCTGATGACAATATATGTTCGCAGTGCTATGAAAATTACTGTAGATATCAAATAAATACCGTAAGTTGAGTACAAATTCAATTTGTATTCTATTTAACGCATATTATTGATTGTTTTTTGCAAAAAATATGTAAAATTAGATGCAATAAATTAAAGTAATAAAAGCTAATATACGAAGTAGATCTCTGAGAAATATATCTAATATGCAGCTTGCAGGCTTACAATTTAAATTAATGAATAAATTTTGAATGCATCTGAGAGCAAAGTAAAGAGTAGTAAGCAATAACATGTACTACGCACTTTATTATATGATCTAAATTATATTTTATTCTAGAATTTTATATCTCTCAAATTACATTATCTAAAATATTAATCTTATATACTTTATTTTATACTTTATACCTTTTTTAAAGTATACCCTATTTTATAATACTTCATTTTGCTGTACTTTTTTTTAATAAAAATTATTACTCGTTAAAGTGTTTTGTGCCTTTTTGTTCCAAACTGTCACTAATAAATCAATCTATCTCTGTAATGTAATAAAATACTTATTATAAACCTTTATTATTACTGTGCAGTTTTGCATCAACAAGAGTAATACGGGCAACGGAAATAATCCCTTTGCAGGAACACAGACCACGTTTTGGTGCGTGTTTTTTCAAAAGCCGAGGAATAATATTTTGATTTGAGTAAATTCGAAGCAAAAATTTAGCGAATTCTCGTGGTGCAAATGTAGTTGGGAATAATATATAGCGACCACGGTGCAAATTCGTGCAGTGTAAATATGCCGAACGTGAATAGTTGTAAGCTGAAGTCGCTTGTGGATTTATTGCCTAAAAGTATTAATTAATAACTGATTTAACTTAACGTCAAATTAAATCTGAGCCTTTTTGCAATAATCATTCAAATAAATGAAGCGTTAATCATCAATATCAAATGAAATATACTTATTATAGCTTTGATTTAGTTCAATAATACTTGAAATTATGCACTAAGAAAACAAGAAGGCTACTTGTTTTTGCTGTTTTGTGGCATTTTTTGAATAAATTTACAAAAATTATTTAAATCAATACTTTTTTCAAGTATCGTATTAGTTGTCAATTTTAGTTTTATATTATATATTATAAAATAATTTTCAAATTAGTGATAAGTAGCAAATGTATAATATGACATCTACAGCAGTCACAAAATTAAGACTGACCTGATGTATTTTGTAGATTCGATTAGCCTCTACTTTCATCAAGTGCATACCAATGGTCACTAGCGGTTGTCGCTGTTTTTCACCTTCATTTTTTTCTTTTTGAGTTAGTGCAAATCGTACTTCAGTGCCTTCTACATCCACATCAAATTGATACTGAGAATAGAAGCCCAAGTTTTTTTAATTTTTCTATTATTTTTTATTTTTGTGTTTTTTTATTTTCGGAAATTTTTATATCATTTTTTTGAATTTAGCATTAACTCAAAAATTAATCCTCCCTTATATTTATGCCAGTGTTTTTTACTTCATTATTTAAAACATTTTAAATAATTATTTATAGCAGTAATTTGTAATTTGATCATCTGTTATTGCCTATACCACTTTCCAAAAACTATTCCTAATAACTTTCAAACAAAATTAAAATAAAATTCTTGAAATAAAAATATTCACGAAATTGAGTACTTGTGGATTACAGCAAAATGTAGCCGTAAAATTAAGACAGCCACCAGCTTCGTTATTAAGAGCTTCTTGCTTAGCTTCATTTGTTTTCCATTCCCCAAAAAATTTCCACTCATAATATTTCAATCCCAAATTATATAATGATGTGTTAAAAAGTTGGCAAACGCTTAAATCCGTGAAAAAACGAACAAATTCATCCCATGGCATCCTAAATATACAATTATAATCTTATTGTATTGTGAATTTTTGTATTTGCAAAATAATTATATCCTAAAATTGATTCTAGTGATAATCATAAGACTTGACATTAAAATAAAATTGGCAAATTCTTCAGGAATTGAAAATTATTAATGATTTAATGAGTAGCAGATTATTCATTTGAATTTGATAAGTTAACTTAATTACATTATCAAGAAACATACCAAAATTCGCCATCTTCGTTTACTGTAATACCAAGTTCTTTTTTTTGCTCATCTGTTACCTGCAAGAAAAAATTTTCTAATTTTTTTTCCCGCCATAAAATTATTACTTCAAAATTATAGATAATTTTGAACAGCTATTTTATACTTATTTATAAATAATGAAATGGTGAAAGATGGAATGAATTATTTATTTCATAGCTTATAAGACTGAAAAATGTTAATTTATGCTTAAATACTGATCAAATCTTAAGGAATAGAATCTTACTTGTTCCCATTCTTGCGATCCATCTGACCACGGGCCATTCCATTCTTTCTCACCCCAGGGATTTTGTAAACGGATCATCATTTGGCGTTTATTTTTAGGAAAAAATAAGAAAGAATGGTTTATAGCATCCAATTCGATGAATCGCACTGCAGTAACGGCATATGCGTGACCTTTGACGAGACCACATTCCGATGTGACTTCAATCTCCTCTTTATTTTTAGCCTTGAAACTTGTTTAAGTTATAAATTTTTAACATACATAAATAAAATTTAAACATGATAAATAATTCTTTTACTTATTTTGTTAAATTTAATAGTGCGCAATAATTTGATCAATTAGTAGCATAAAAGATTCATTTTATTTGTAATTCAAAAAATTGAATACTTGAATACAATATAAGGTTGACTCGCTCAATTAATTTGTTTTCAGTATTTTAAAAGGCTATTCGAAGTAGTTTGCCTAATGTATTTACTGTTTACTTTTTTTTAGATTAATTTAAACTTAAATTTAAAAATCGTTCCAAATGATGAATTTATTAAGTAATTTCAAGTAAATAAGTAATTTCAAGTTGTGGATTGCTGCTTACTAATATGTAATATGTAAGCAAAAATGAGTAATTCCAGAATTACAGCATGCTGTAATTATATTAATTAAAAATTGTTTGATTAATAATTTTGGCTAGTATAATTATTATTATCATACATTGAGCGTACAGCGATTGCAGCGATGATCAGAGCTTTTTGATCAAATGCTGATTTTATCCTATCAAAAAGTTTCTCCGAAGAATTAATACAATCACTGCTAAGTTGTTTTTGCACTCTGATTGTTTCTACTATACCACCCGAGACATCCTGGAGGGCGTCTGCTAACTGTCCACCAACCAAATTTTCATAACAACCGTATAGCCTAAGTTTAGATAATATTAATAGAAAATATTAAATTATTCTTTTTTTGCATTTTGATTCAACACGTGAAAATAACTTAATTTAAAACTAATCAATAATTTATCAATTATTGCTTTTTACAAATAATTAGTAAGGATTTTGTCTGGAAAATAAATAACTGCATTTTAAATGAATAAAAGTACTGTAGGCAAGACATTAAAAGATTAATAAATATAAAATTGACTATTTAATATTTTTGAAATTAATAATTAATATACTCAAGTAACTAAAATTGACGTTAAATCTGAAAGCAAAATTTTACAAGTATAATGAAAGCATAATTTTAGTTACTTAAGTATATTAAATATTAATTTACAGTGTATTAATTTCAAAAATTATTCAAGTAAAAGCTATGTTCTTTATTGCTATTCTAAGTAATTATTTTGGTAATAACTATATGGAAGAATAATTAGCATTTGAGATAATCAAGTAATTATACAAACTTAGCAAAAGCCTTTTCAAGTAAAGCACTCCAAAATTCATTAACAGATTTCGATCGAGCAAAAACTAATTTTCCATCACGTGTTGGTAATAAATCATCAATCACTACTTCAATCCACTGATCAAATCGCCAGAAGCAAAATCGAAATATTCCACAATAAGAATTACCATTTGTCCATTCTTGCTCGTTAGCATTTGGTATTACCTGCGAAGAGCTTAATAATTAATAATTACCATCAATAATTTAATGATCCATATTTAATAATAATTTTATCTATTGCTGACCAGATATTTGACCATTGTTTGATTAATGATTAATTAAAAATAATATAATCGTGTATACACATTTATAAATTTATTCTTTACGATTGGCTTAATTTGGCGTTATTGTGTAAAAATAACTAAAATTAATTACAATGCACATTACTATATTTTGATGAGCAATAATCATGCTATAATATTGAGCTAATAAAAGGTTAAATAAATATTTGAACTCAGCTAAGAGCAATTTAAAAAGTCTAAATAATTTGCAAAAATAATAGCAAAAACAAACTTTTTGAAGCAATTCTTGATTGTGTGTAAGTGCAGAACAAGCTGAAACAAACCAGCAATTTCCGAGTATTCCTTGAGTCACGTCATTTGGCGTAGCTCCTTCTACGAACAGCTGCGGATTATCCACAAGTTCCTATCAAATGACTGATTACTTTTGGGTAGGAATCTTCAACAGAATTTGAGAGAATCGTCTGCGTAAGATTTCTTAGCAAAAAGAAAATGACCATTCATGCAATTTGATGCAAATTGGTGGAGTTTGGTACCTTTTGAATTTTCACAAATATGAAAATATTTGCTTGTGATATAATTTCAACTTTTTTCCTTATCGAAGTCAAAAAAAGTTGTCAAATTTGTCTCTATAATTAGAAGTATTAACAAATTAAGGGTTCATCAGGGAATGACTTCTATTACAGAATCGAAGTCACTTTTAAATTTTCAAGCTCGCTAAAACTGCGTGGATTTTTTGTCCTCTTTGACATTATCATTTTCTATCAAGCTAAACTTATAGACTGATAATGTTATCAATTATAAATTAAATACATTTTTTATTTTGTAAGAATCGTCACAGAAATATTTTTTCCAATTTATCTTAACTAAATAGAAGTCATTCCCAATTACAAAAGCATCAGATCAGATGCTTTTGTAATTGTGACTGGAGTGAATTCATCAAATTTCGTATCATTAATTAAGAAATTATTAGCAGAAACGAAAATAATTTGCTTATCTAATCTGAATTTTCGTTGGCTGGATAAATTTAGTGAATATACATTAAATATATATGCACTATTTCACTAATTGAAATTTAAATATCAATTAGTTAGAATTTTTAAAATATTCTACAAGTCATTAAATTTAAAAACTTATCGAAAATTGTGATTTGAGCAAAAAAAAAAGTCATAAAATGTTGTAAAAAATCAAAAACTTACACCAGGTCGTTTCCACGTTATATCAATTTCAGGATTAACCTGCCCTAAGAATAATGAATTATTGGTAGGAGGAAAATGAATATCCACAAATAATTGTCGCTTTTTAATGCATTCTGCTTTAAGATGATGATAATTCTGTGCGCGAAAATAACGCTTACCCATGACGTACGAGAGTATTGAATACGTAAATTTTTTAGTCTCGTAAAAATCCTAAAAGTAATGTTAAAGGAAAGAAACGAAAATGCAATGAAAGAAAAAACGAATGTATTCACTTTGCAATATAATAGGTAATGTGTAATTTTTAAATTAAATGAAAAATTGAAGAAAGGCATGGAATTTGTCTAAATACCTGTTGATACCAGCACACAACATACATACGTCTAATGTCTATAAAGTTGTACGTGTACATTTATTTTTTGAAAAGA